CTGTTTTTGGCCGGGGCTGGATTTGAACCCACCACCTCTGGCATATGGGGCTGGTGCCTTACTCCTTTGAGCCACAGGTGCCACCCGTCATTGCTGTTTTTAACTGGCCGGGGCCGGGTTCGAACTTGCCAGCCTTGGTATATAGGGCCAGTGCCCTACTCACTGAGCCACAGGCGCCGCCTCATATATTTTGAGTTTATTGTAGATAGCATGTAGTTAAATCTTTTTTTTTTTTTTTTTTTTGAGACACAGTCTTACTTTGTCACCCCTGCCAGAGTGCTCTGGCATCATACCTCACAGCAACCTTTAACTCTTGGGCTCAAGTGATTCTCCTCCTGAGTAGCTGGGACTACAGGTGCCCAACACAACACCCAGCTATTTTTTAGAGATGGGGATCTCTATTATTAGAGATGGGGTCTCACTCTTGCTCAGGTTGGTCTCAAACTCGTGAGCTCAGGCAGTCCATCCACCTCAGCCTCCCAAAGTGCTGGGATTACAGGCATGAATGTAGTTAGATCTTATTATTATTATTTTTATATTTACCCAGGTACTGTATGTCATTTGATTAGAAAATTGAATCATTTACTTTTCTTTTTAAGCCAGTCCCACTCTGTTGCCCAGGATAGAGTGCTATGGTGTCAGCCTAGCACACAGCAGCTTCAAATTCCTGGGTTCAAGTGATCCTTTTGCCTCAGCCTCCAGAGTAGCTGGGACTACAGGAACCCACCACAATGCCCAGCTAATTTTTCTACTTTTTAAATTTATTTTTTATTTTTATTTTTAGTAGAGGCAGGCTCTCACTCTTGCTCAGGCTGGTCTCTAAACTCCTGAGCTCAAGTGAATCTCTTTCCTCAGCCTCCCAGAATGTTAGTATTATAGATGTGAGCCACCTATTAAGCTTGGCTTAATAATTTACTTTTAATGTAATTATTGATAGGTAAGGGCTTATTATTACCATTTTGTTAATTATTTTCTGTTTTATAGTTCTTTTTTCTTATTCTTCCTCATTTCCTGTCTTCTTTTGTGGTTGGTGATTCTTCGTAGTGGTATGCTTTGATTTCTTTCTCTTTTGTGTGTCTACTGGCGGTGGTTTTCTTTGTAATTACCTGAGGCTTACATAACACATCTTATAGTTGCAACAGTGTATTTAAAGCTGATGACTTAACTTTGACCACATAGAAAAACTACATGGTAACTTCTTCTCCAACATGAAGTTGCTAATATCACAAGTTCTATCTTTTATATTTTATAGTTATTTTTAAAGTCTTGCAACTTTTATACTGAAGGTGATTTTTCCTCTCCCTTTACAGTATTTGAGTATATTGAATTTGTGTATATTCTTACCTTTACAGTGAGTTTTATTTTCATTGTCAGCATCTTTCTGTTTTAACTTACAAAAATGCTCAAGAACTCCCTTTAACATTTTTGTAAGGCAGGACTAGTGGTGATGAACTACCACAACTTTTGTTTATTTGGGAGGGTTATAATTTTATATAGGTTACTTGGAAGGCCTCACTGAGAACGTAATATTTATGCGAAGATGAATGAATCCTGAGTGTTGCAGATGGGGTTGTGAACAGGTATAAAGCCCTGAGGCTAGAATGTGTCTGGCATGTCGTGAAACATAAAGAGGCCATTGTGACTGGAGTGGAATGATGCTGGGGAGAAGAGGTTTGTGGAGCTAGAAAATTTTGGGTGTGGTAGGCTACTATGAGGACTTCAGTTTCTACTTCAGTCCTCTACTATGAGGACTCTGGGTGAGATGGAGAGACATTGGAGATTTGTGAGCAGATGCACTGCATTAAAAAAAAAAATAACAGGCTGGGCACGGTGGCTTACGCATGTAATCTTAGCACTCTGGGAGGCCAAGGTGGGTAGATTGCTTGAGCTCAGGAGTTTGAGAACATTCTGAGCATGAGAAAGACCCTGTGTCTACTAAAAATAGAAAAAATTAGCTGGTTATATTGGCGGGTGTCTGTACTCTCAGCTACTTGGAAAGCTGAGGTAGAAGGATTGCTTGAGCCCAAGTTTGAGGTTGCTATGCGCTATGATGTCACAGTACTCTACTCAGGGTGATGGAGTGAGACTGTCTCAAAAACCCCCCAAAACCAAAAATCAAAAAAGAAAAAGAATATAGACATACACACACACACATATATCAGCTTCACTAATATCTCATTCCATATACTATACAATTCCTCCATTTAGAAATGGTTTTTAGCATATTCACAGAGTTGTATAATCATCACCATCACAAATTTTAGAACATTTTGTCACTTCCAAGAAACCTTATGCTCATTAGTAATCACTCTCATTTCCTCCCAACTCCCCAGGATTAGGCAACCATTAATCTATTTTCTGACACTGAATTTGACTGTTCTGGACATTTTACATAAATGAAATCATACAATATATGGTTTTTCATAATGTGGCTTTCATGCTTTCACACTATTTTCTTTTATGGCTGAATAATATTCCATTGTTTGGATATACCCTATTTATTCATTCATCAGGTGATGGAAAATTTGGGTTGTTGCTAGTTTTTGGCTATCGTGAATAACACTGCTATGAACATTTGTGTGTAAGTTTTTGTACGGACATACGCATATGTTTACATTTCAGGTGCTATTAATGCGTATTAAAGGAGCATATTTACTTGACTAAGGATAAATGACCTAAGTTTTTGTCCCAGAAGGAGGTTTGGCTATATTTTTTTTTTTTTTTTGAGACAGAGCCTCAAGCTGTCCCCCTGGGTAGAGTGCCATGGCATCTCAGCTCACAGCAACCTCCAACTCCTGGGCTCAAGCGAGTCTCCTGCCTCCGCCTCCCAAGTAGCTGGGACCACAGGCGCCCGCCACAACGCCCGGCTATTTTTTGGTTGCAGCCATCATTGTTGTTTGGGGGGTCCGGGCTGGGGATTAGAACCCGCCACCCTAGGTGTACGTGGCTGGCGCCTTAGCTGGTTGAGCTATAGGCGCCGAGCCGGTTTGGCTATATTTGCTCCTTTCTTTTCTTTGTTTGTTGTCTCTTCTTACAGGGTTAGGCCATTTGTTTTTCTAATGATTTCCCTGTCCCTTTGTATTCTATCTAGTTTCTCTGCTTTGGTTTTCTTTGAATTTGGTCACATTAAATAGGTTTCCCAAAAGATAGGGTCAATTCTCTGTAGAGCCTTATATAATTAGTAATTAAGATATGATACAAACTCAGTTTATGAAAATCCTTAAGGAGAAATTACACAGTATTTTCTGTTCTGAGTTGGGACTCACTAGTGAATCAATTAAGTGAAAACAACATTTAAAATATGAAATAGAATCTCACACAAGAGGAACAAATATTACTTTATGAAACTTGTTTCAATTAATATGTATGTGAACTGGATCAAGATATAAAATGTGTGTATGTTTGTTTGTGTTTATGGATTGTATTAAAGTTTGAAGTCCCTGGGTTAGTATATCCTAGACCTCTCATGTAATTAACATTGTTTTTCTTCTACTTTATTTTTATTTTTTGGAGGGCAATGAAGTATTATTCAGCATAGAATATTTAAATCAAGCTATATCATATCCAAATAGGCAATATATGTATAAGAGCAATTTTGTTGTTTTTGTTCAGTATAAACATATGTAGATGAACTTTATATCTTTTTGTGAATAAATATGATTTTCTGATAATGTTATGACTAAGAACATATGTATTTTTTTATTGTAGGAGTCACACCTCATGGAATTATGTGGTAAATGATCTTGGCACAGAAAAGGATTAAAGAATGATGGTAAGTGATCAAGCTACCTTAAAGATGAACCTTAAATTTTGGGGCTCCTTCTTTTCTTCTTTCCTTCTATTTTTCATTTATTTAGGGTCAGGATCTTGCTCTGTTGCCCAGGCTGGAGTACAGTGGTGCAGTCGTAGCTTACTGTAGCCTTGACCTCCTGGGGTTAAGAAGTCCCCTTGCCTCAGCCTCTCAAGGGATGTTAGGCCTGTGCCACCATGCCCAGCTTATTTAAAAATTTTTTTGTAGTGATGATGTCTTGCTATGTTGCTCAGGTCTGGAACTCCTGGCCTCAAGTGATTCTCCCACCTTGACCTCTCAAAGTGCTCAGGATACAGCATGAGCCACTGTTCCTGGTCTTCCTTTATTTTTAAAATATAATATTTGTTCTGGGTAGTGCCTGTGGCTTAAAGGAGTAGGGTGCTGGCCCCATATACCAAAAACTGCAAAAAAATACATATATAATATTTGTTCCCTATGATACTCTGTGGAACACATTGTGTAAAGCCTAGTCATAAACTGAACAGCTGTTCAATCTTAGAGTGCAGGAATCCTTGCTGCTCCTACACTTGCCCTTAATATGTGTGATACTCACAACTGGAATTCATATGAAAACTAACTTTTAAAATGTCTTTATATTAAATAGTTAGAAAATTATGTCTGCCAACAGCCTGACTTGCTTTCCTTCTCAGGGGCCAGACAACTCTTGAAGAAACCATAGTCTTTTTGGGCCAGGCACCGTGGAAGTTGGACTAGGGTAGTTCTTGAATCTGGAATGGCAATTGATATAGTAGTGAAACTCCCCTAGAGAGCCAGGGCGAACACCCCACACTTTGCTCTTCTAACTCCAGATTTTCAGGCAATTCTAAGTATCTTAAACTATTCAAACTAAAGAGTGAATGTAGTTATATGAGAAACCCAGTTTGCCTAGATACTCAGTTAGTGACTGATTATCTTTGGGTTTTGATGATTTTGATGGGTGTGTTTTTCTAAAGTGTAGGGCTCAAGGAAGAGTCCCCTTTTCTGGGTGGAAGGATGGGAGATCTGTCTATGTGTTCTTATCTTATCCCTCCCACTCCACACTCCTTCTCAGTTATAAGGAGTGGTTTTTCATATTTGTCATTTGGAGTCATTTTCCTTCTGTCTGCTATTTCCTGACATTTCCTACAATAGGAGGTCTTTTTGTCATAAACTCTGGTTTGTCAGAAAATGTCTTTTTTTTAATGCACTAATTTTGAAAGATGGTCTTGCTTTTCACAGCTAGGTTGACAGATTTTTTTTTCCTCTCAATATCTTGAAAAAAAAGATTCCAGTGTCTTCAGCTTCTTTTTGATTTTTAGAGATTTCTTTCATAAACCATTTAATGTAATTCTAATATTATATCCAACATTTACATGGCTCAAAATTCAAACTGTAGAATAGTACTCAGAGAAAATTAATTTTCTTCTTCCTTTCTGGAAAATTTCCTTTAATTTTTCTTTCAGTGCAGTTTGCTTGGTAACAAATTTCTTAGAGTTTGTGTGTCTGAAAATATTTTTATTTTGCCTTCATTTTTTAGGCTATCTTGTCAGTTAAATAATCCAGATTTGTACAGAGCAATCTTTCAGTATTTTAAAGATATTCTACTATTTACTGGTGTTTATTGTTTCTGTTGGAAAATCATCTGAGAGTTTTATTGTCAGTCCTTTAAAGATACTGAGTTTTTATCCCTTCTGGATGTTTTTAAGATTTTCTCTTTGTTTCAAGTTTTCATCAGCTTTTCTATGATGTGCTTAAGTGTGGTTTTCTTTGTATTTATCCTGCTGAGGGCTTTGTAGAGCTTCTGGGAGAATTTGGCTAATATCTTGAGTCATTTTTAAAGCCATTTCCTTTTAAATATTTTTTCTGTCTCTCTGTTCTTTCTTTCAGGGTTGGTAATTATACCTTTCAGGACTTTTTCACTGTATCTCATGTTATCTCTTGTTTTCTGTTATATGTGTTTATATTCTTATTTTCCTCTGTACTTTCATGCAGATATTTTCCACTGTTATATTTTCCAGTTCACTAATCCTTTTTTCTGCTGTGTCTAATTTGTGTTAAACCAATTTATTGAGCTCATAAATTTAGTAATATTTTATTTCTCTTCTAGAATATCCATAAGAATAAGAATCTCAGTTTTTGTTTTTTGCTTTTTTTTTTTTTATTTTTTATTTTTTTTGAGTCAGTCTCAAACTGTCACCCTTGGTAGAGTGCTGTGGCGTCACAGCTCACAGCAGCCTCAAACTCTTGGGCTTAAGTGAGTCTCTTTGCCTCAGCCTCCCAAGTAGCTAGGACTACAGGCGCTCGTGACAACGCCTGGCTATTTTTTGTTGCAGTTGTTATTGTTGTTTCAACGCCTGGCTATTTTTTGTTGCAGTTGTCATTGTTGTTTAACTGGCTGGGGCAGGTTTCAAACCCACTAGCCTCAGTGCTGTAACCACTCTGCTACAGGCACCGAGCCTTAAAGGAATATTTTCATATATTTCTATGTGGTGGTTATTTACTTTCAGAACTTTGAAGGTTTTATTTTGTTGACTTCTTACATTCATTTGTTATTGCTGATAGGAGACACTTGTCAGTTTTATTGTTACTACTGTAAAGGTACTTGTGACTATTTGTAAGATTTTCTTTTCTTTGGTTATCAGTAGTTTTCACCCTAATATGTCTGGTGTTTGTCTTTTTATTTTACCTTGTTATTTAAAATTTTGAGAAATTTAAACATTTTATTTGTAGTGCCTCTTGATTCTGTGATGATCTTCTTTTGATGGCTTTGGAAATTTTTAGCCTTTATATGCTCTAATCGCATTTTTGTTTCTCTTTTTCTCAGGCTTCAGTTTTTGTTCCTATGTTTGACCTTTTATTTCTTATGTCTTTGTGTTCTTTTCTATTTTTTCTATTTTCTGTTTTCATTCTGGATATTTGAGTCTTGTTCACTTATTTCTTGTTAAATTCATTCATTGAGTTCTTAATTTCAGTTTTTAAATTTTATATTTTCCAATTTTATAATTTCTATTTGCCTGATAATTCTATAATTTTGATCATATGTTAGTATAGACCTGTTTTTTATAATTTTTCTTGGTCTTTAGCCATTTAACTTGTTTTCCACTGTGCCTAGTAATTTATGATTGGGTATAGGAACTTATATAGGGTGGTCATAAATTGCCAACAACCTTTATGGCCACTCTGTATATGAATAATTGAACAGATAATTTGATGCCTAAGATGCAATATCTTCTCTAGAAGATTTACTTTTGTTTCTGGCAGATGCTAGCGATTCTGGGAATTGCAGTTTATTCTAATCCTCTTGGGGACTGAGATAATTCAAAACTGCCTCCATTGTTTGTTGGGGCTAGTCTATTTCTGAATTACCCTGACTTCTGATATGAAGCTCTTCTGGATCCTAACTTCAAGCCTGGCATTGGATACATTTTGTCTCTGTCATTTTTGTCTATCAAAATTCTGCTCAGCTTCTCTGCCTTGGCCTCCTCTGTTAGAATTGTCAGTTGCCTTTGAGGGAAAAGCAGCTCTGATTGCTGGATTCTCCTCTCTAGGTTTTTGTTTTTCCCCAAAACAAAAAATCTTGGCATCATAATTGGTCACTTCTTCCACTTTTTTCTGGTGCTCCTAAAATATTAAAAATAATATTTTGTTCAGCTTTAAAAATTTTTCTCAACGAGATGGTTGGTCTGAATTAACTAGTCCTTTGTAATTAGAAAGGGAACCAATGGATTAGAAGTTTATTTTTCATTCACTTAATAGCTCAGTGCAAGAATTAACATGTGACCTTCTGCCTTATGATTCTGGGACCAAATCTACTCTCATTTTTTGATCTCTTCATTCTTTCAGACTCCTGTGCTTGCTGGAACCTCTGCATCCAGCCAGTAAGTCAGGGAAGACTGAGAGCGAGAGAACCTAAATAATGAGGAGACCTTTCTTTTCTTTCTCTCTCTTTTTTTTTTAATAAGGCTGTTTTCCCCTATAACTTGGTCGTGTGGCTGCAAGAAGACTGGGAAGTGTTGTCTAGCTTTGTGACAGGAGAAAAAGAAAATAGTTTTGGTGAGCATATGGTAGTCCTTGTCATAGAGGCTATTCTTGTAATTTGGGCTTTAGATGATGGCTTAGCCTAGGGTAGTGTACAAGATATGCTGGTCGTGTTTTCAAGGTATACTATTTAGGAGATAGAATTGATAAGACTCAATGTATTACTTAGAGTGCAAGATAGAAATAATTTTTTCCCCTTCTAGTAGTTTAGCAGCATTAGTTCATCCAGAGTTTTACCTTTAGAAAATTGTGACTTATCAGTAAGAACTGAGAAGGTTATTCATAAATTACTGAACAGGATTCTAGCTCATCATTCTGTAATACTGGAGAAATTGTACCAGTTATACAATTTCTCAGGTAAGTTTCATGGTTTATAAAAATACAGGCAAGTGTTATCATGCTCAGAATTTTAATATATTCTTCATACTTCCTAAAATATGAAGGGCTTTAGTAGTGAAAATTTAAGAGAAAGATTCTTTATTGAATTATTCAGAAAGCTGAAAAATCAGGGCAGTGCCTGTGGCTCAAGGAGTAGGGTGTGGTCCCCATATACCGGGGATGGTGGGTTCAAACCTGGCCCCAGCCAAAAACTGCAAAAAAAAAAAAAGCTGAAAAACTATTTTAAAAAGATATGAGAATTTCATTTTATGGGCAAGCAATAGTATCAATGGATTTTGAAAAACTTGTATAAAGGAAAAAATTTTATGGAGGAAGAAACATAAAAATTTAATAAACAATGCTTATAACCATTTCAAGATGGGGGGAAGTTGTTAAGATAGAATTTAGTTAGTTTTTTTAAACTAAGAGAAAAATTTCTTTTTCTAATCTGAGAGCAGGTCTCAGAAATATTAGTCTCTTCGGTGAACATTCCGAACACTTGCTTTCTTAGATTATATACAGTAAGATCTGAACATAAAAATCTTCTGCTTAGGACTGACCTTTATGCTTTTAATTGAAACATTAAATATTTGAACAAGTCTCTGAAATCTCCGTACAGCACTAGATGGCACACTGTGACTTTGGATGAAAATAGACATATTTTGTTGAAGATTCCTGTAAGAAAAGAATTTATGTACAAATACTATTCCAAAAATGGAATGAAGTTATGAAGTTTCTCAGTATCATTTGTTGCATTTCAAACCCTTTTCCTTAGATTAAAATATTTAAAACTATTTTATTTATTACTGACAGTTTTGAAAGCATTAGATTACTAAAAGTGATTAGAATTTGAGTTTTTACTGAAAGGAGTCCATTCAGTATATATTACTGAAAGCATCTGAGCTTAAAATGAAAAATGACTTTTAGTCAAATGTAGTAAGATGAATAGTTATAATGTTTTTGCATGTAAAGTATTGGAAGCAAAAATAAAAACAAAAGTCTTGAACTGATGGCATTTTCTTGAATGTGTGTCTGTGTATGTTTACTAAGTATGAAAGAACTAACTACCTTGGTAAAATTTATGATACAACTGAAATGTTTACAGAAATAAAGAATCTTAGATTTGAAGTTTTCTTATCTAATTATTAACACAACATTGCTATCTTGTGATTATCCATTTTAGTTCTTTGAAACTTATTAATTTATGAAGACTCCAGATTTTCTGTGGTTGCATAAGAGAATTATCTCATACAGAATTGAAAGTAGGCCTTCAATTTAAACTTGTTCATTTGGTCTGGAAGAAATAGTGATTTTCTTGGTTAAAACAATGGTTAGGTAGCCTAGATGATAAATGCCAGTGTAAGTTAGAACTGACTATTGAGAGGTGTACTAAAGGAAGAGGGTTTATGGTGTTATATTTATTGGAAGGTACAGGCAGTCCCCAGATTATGAATGAGATAGGTTCTGTAGGCGTGTTCTTAAGTTGAATTTGTATGTAAGTTGTAACAGGTACATTTACCTGTTACCTGTAATAGCCTCTGTAAGTTGTATATCATTTAGATGTTTGCAACTCAGAGGCAGGGACTAACTTTATGGGAGTACCTGGAGAAGAGATGATTCAACAATTTTGCAAACTTAGAGGGCACCATTTGGAGCTAGGGCAGTGTTCACAGATGAAACAGTTTCAGTGAAAGCTTAGTGAGTCTGCTTGGCTATCCCAGGTTAAAGTCAGAGGAATGAAGAAATGTTAGTACAAGTATTCATGGCCTCTCCTCCCAATGTATTAGAGTAGGAGGGAGCCGTCTTTGTTTTCCTAGTAGTTTGGAGTGGTTGGTGAGTTCATTCATTTGTATATGGAAACCCAATTCCTGTCACCCAGGGATTTAGGACCTATGATTATTCCCTTTCCCAACATAATACAATTGCTTTCTCTATTGGATCATCCTTCTCATCATGTAAATATGACAGACTATCACTCATCCTAAAAGCCCTTTCTGTTCATTTCTTTCTTTCTTCTTCCTTACGACAAAACTCAAAAAGATATTTTCTATACTGTGTGTTTTCTTACCATTTCCTTTTGAACACCTTTTGGTCAGGATTTTGACTGTACCATTCCACTGAATAGGAAGTAAGTTATTGATTTATTAATATTGGAGTTTATTGTGAATTATTCTTTATCACTTCTCATACAATGCAAGGCTGTCATGCTCATTGCTGCTTCTTTAAAGGTAATGAGTTATTTTTTATTCTTCTGTATGCTTTTAGGATGTTTCTCCTTGTTTCTGGTTATCGTTTTTCTTTGATGAGCTTAGTTGTAGTTTTCTCTGTATTTATCCTGCTTGGAGTTTGTAGAGCTTCTGGGAGGATTGGACTTATATCTTTTTTTTTTTTTTTTATTAAATCATAGCTGTGTACATTAATGCATTTATGGGGTACAATGTGCTGGTTTTATATACAATTTGAAATACAACAAACTGTTTAACATAGCCTTCACCACACTTTCTTTCTTATTGTGTTAAGACATTTGTACACTACTCTTAATAGATTTGACATGTATATCTTTTGTCAACTTTATACTGTCAAAGACATTTGTGGGGCAGCTGGTGGAATTTTTCTGTAAGTTAGAAAATAATTCTGTGTTGATGATAATTTCCTGATTTTGATAGTTGTAGGACAGTTATATAGGAGGGTATCCTGGTATACAGGAAAAACACACTGAAGTATTTACCGTCAAGAGGTATCATAACTGCAATTTATTCTCAAGTGTTAGGGTAGTTTGTGTATTTTTTGTGCTAATTTGTGACTTTTCTAGAATTTGGATTTATTTCAAAATGAAAACTAATATGTATCTGATCGTCTTTCTGGTCACATAGCCACCCCTGTTTGTGTACAAGTCGTTTGTGGATGCTTCACCTAAAATGGCAGAATTGAGCGTTTGCCACAGTGTGGCTTGCAAAGTCTAAAATAAAACATATCTGGTGCTTTGTAAAAAACATTTCCTAACTCCTGCCCTAGAGTGTACTGTAGTGGTTTTTTTTCTTCTCTCATAGTTATACTTACTCATTAAATTAATAAAGTCTTTCACTTGAGAATATGTTGCTTTACCTTCACATATTCCTCAAATAAACAAGTAATTAAAGTCAACCAGTAGGTGGGGAGAATGGAAAACAGAAAGCACCATAGTAACATATTCCAGGGGGAGGATGAGAAGAGCTAATGGTTTTCACAAATAGTACTTTGGCTGGTGTAAGGCTGAAGACAAGAACTGTACAGAAATGCTGTAATCTAGCAAGAAAATGAGTTTCTCAAGAAAATGCCGTAATCTAGCAAGAAAATAGATTCCCAGTTATGAAACTACTTTATGTATATATAAGAATTTAACAAAGAAGTAAACATTATGGATTATGAGAGCTGAGTTTCTTACTGTTGGAGAAAGAAGCTTCAAATAAGGAAAGGAAAAGCCTAAAATGAACCCTGTGGTATACAGTGAATATCAGAAGTATCAATATAATCTTATGATTTAAAAAAATCTCTGTCCAGATAGATCCAGGGAAGTATAGTGTACATTAATGTGCTGACATGGAGTTCTTACTACCACATTCTGTGAGTTGATTGGGTGGTTCTCGTGATGTAGTATCGAGTGGGGTGCGGGGATGGTAGCGGTTACTTGGGGGCTCACTTGGAGGGCATTGTCCAGAATGGCTCACACAGTAGGCAATGCTGTCTGTCAAGTGGGGACTGTCAGAGTAGAGTGCTGCATGTGTGTGGTCTCTCTATTTGTGGTTGGGCTGCTCATGGCATAACAGCTGGATTTTAAGAGTGACTGTCCAAAGAAATCCAGGTGGAGGCTACAAATCTTAGGACTCAGAAGTTGTGCTGTGTCCCTTCTGTTGCATTTTATTCATCAAAAAGCAAGTCACAGAGCCAGATTCACAGGGAGCGGAGTACACAGGGCATGAACACCAGCAGGTGTGGTTCATTAAGTGGGGAGGGGAACATCTTTGGAGACTATTGGCTAGTACATGTATTATTTTTTGCTCTTACATGTTTGATGCATTTATTCGGGTTGTTATTTTGAGGATAAGTCCAATACCTTGTATTTCTTTATGTTCTCCTCATAGTGCTTTCCACATACTACATTGCCTAGTACATATTTGTTGCCTTAGGATTCAGGAATGCTGAAAGTGTGGTCTGCAAGAACTAAAAGAGGGCATAAAAGCATCCTAATACTTGGGCTTGGATTTTGGGCTGGGCCTAGTGGTGTACTTGTTTCAGACAGAGGCATATTGCCCACGTGGTGTTAAGGGTTAGGTTAGGAAGCTACGTCCTCATGCTCATATGGCTACTTTAGGCTCCCTTTCTTCTCATAGAAATAGACTATTTTCACATAGCATTCATAAGTGGGGACGTAATTTCCTTTATTTTACTGGACTTGGCTTCCAATTTACCCAAGGTCTTTGTGGTGCTGTGTAGGCTAGTGTTATTTTCAGAAGTGGCTGAGTGGGGCTAGAGCATTACACACATTGTATGCAGTGATTTGAGTTTTAAAATTTGCAATTTAAATGCCTTGTTACAGGAACTATTGTTTAAATACCAATAACATGGAGATAAAATTGTGCAACTAATCAAGAGGAGATTGACTTTAGCACTATCTTTAGGAAATGAAAGATTTTCCAAAACATTTTATGCTGCAGAGAGTTTTCAGTAGAAATATTACATATAGCATGTCTGTAAAAAGTGATCTTTTTCACACTTGGGCCTGTTGATAATGTAGGGTGGTGCTGATAAGGATGTTTGTGCACCTCAGAATACCTTTTCACAACTTACGTTGCATTTATTCTTAAAATTACTTATTTTTAAAGTTGTAAAATTTGTTGTTTTTAGACTTAAAAAAAGACATGACTTTCTTTTCTCTGACAAACTTTTAAATCCCAAATGAGTTTTAAGTGTTTCCTTTCAGAGAAAGTGTGAGAAATAATAATTTTGTTAAATATATCCTATATGTTGACTAATAAGTATTTAATACTCTAATAAATATTTTCTTTTCCAAACATAGGCTTCATTCCAGCGCTCCAACAGTCATGACAAAGTAAGGAGAATAGTTGCAGAGGAGGGTCGTGCAGCAAGAAACCTGATAGCTTGGAGTGTTCCCCTGGAAAGCAAGGACGATGATGGTATGTATTAAAAATTAGTTTAATATTTTGTTTTAAATTAAAGGATATGTTTAGTCCTAAATGTAGACAGACTGAATACTGTTTACAGTTAGAATTCTTGGGCAAATTAGTATACATTAAATAAATAACTTTTATTTCTTTTATATGCAAATAGTTTTATAAAAGTTTTGCTCTTGCAGATAGTAGTGAAATTGTGTTTGTTGTGTTGTTATGACTGGCAGGCATATTAGAAGTTTTTTTGAAGTTGTAAGAAATTAAAAAAGAAGTTATAAGAAATTTATATTTTTTTCTCTTAATTTTTGTAAAAATGAAAAACGGTTTAAAATTAACTCTATTTATAATGATTTAATATAATGTTTTAGAAAATAAAAGGAATTTCTTTAGTTCTCATTATTATTTGAATTAGGAAAAAATATCTTCTTCCTTAAATCTTCCTCCTTTATTGGCTAGGTGTAGTAGGAAGTCAGTGTTTCTGGGAGTATAGAAGATTGAATACGAGTACAGAAAACAGCGGGTTGGAGTGTCCTAATGGAGACCTCACTTTGAAATTTTCTGAGGGCTTACAGAGTATTCTGCACATTTGGGCTTTTCTGATGTCTTTTCATGATGAGATTCAAGTTTATATTTTTGGTAGGAATTCTATAGAAATGATGTGTCCTTTTCACTGCATCAGAGGAGGCTCGTGGTATCTATTTAACTCATTATTAGTGAGTTTAACTTGGATCAGTTGGTTAGGGTGGTGTCTGCCAGATTTTTCCACTGTGAGGTAACTACTGTTTTCTTTTGTAATTAAAATAGTTTAAGGCTATATAAATATTGTTTCTGTTGAAACAGTCCACACACTGCTTGTACTTCCATTGATAATTCTTGGCTTTTAAGTTATTACCCTGGTGGTTGCAAAATGGTGATATGCTAATTCTATCATTCCTTCCATATTTATTAGTTAGCCTTCTAATGTAAGGAAGAGCCTTGTCTTTTTTTCTTGACTTTTATGGGTGTATTTATATGTATTTTTTATTAATTTTAAATTTGTGTGGACTCATGGCTTCTTATGATACTTAATGGGTTATAATCTATTTCTCTGTTTTGATGCCCAAATTCTTCCAGGTTTGTCTTCATAGGAGACCTTTTATTTTTGTTTTGTTTTATAACTTTGATGTATCTCACAATCACTAGTTAGTTCTCATCCATGTTGACTGTCCATAGATTTTTGAGAGTGGTAACAGGTACATAGGTAACCAAAGTCTAGAGCTTGTTTGATGAATCTTCATCCTCATTATATTTTCTGGATGATTGCACACAGATATGGTATGGGACATTCCTTATTCCTTTGGCCCAGATAGCTTCATCGAGCCTGGTTATCAGTGCGCACATCTGGAGTCCCCATCTCCTTCATAGCAAATTTCCAGATCTCTTTGAATGCCTGAGGGGCATGTTTCTTGAAGCCCACTCTGTGGATACGCTTGTGAACATTGATAGTGTATTTCCGGGTCACCACCTCACTGATGCAGAACGGCCCTTCTTCTTACCACCCTTCTTAGTGGGAGCCATTCTGCCATACCCAAGTTATAAGGAAGAATGCTAAGGATTATGAGACGAGGAAGGTGGTGGTTGCAAGTGGGGAGACCCCTTAGTTGTCTCCTATTTTCTTTGGACATGTTCTTATCATTCTTGGAGAACATTCTCATACAAGATGTTTTAAGCTAAATAAGAATTTATACATGTTTTATTCTTTTTACTTTTACATTTAGTTTTGTTTAAAATTTAAAAATTCTAATCTTTTATTTTACATTTAGATCTCTGATCCATTGGTAATTTATTTTTACGTATAGTGTGTGGAATATATCTAATTTTGTCTTTTTCCTTATAGCTAACAGGTTGCTTCAGCATCACTACTGTAAAGTCTGTCTTTGCCTCAGTTATTTGAAATTCCACCTTTTCTGTAGATTGAATTTCCATATGGACTTATATTCTGTTCCACTAGCCTGTTTATCTAATTCACGTGTTGAGTACCACACAGTTTTAAGTATAGAGGTGTTACAGTGTTTTAAAATATCTGCTTGAACCAGTCTTCTCTTGTAGCTTTTTTTCTTAGTGTTCCTGGCTATTTGTAGAGAGTAGTTATTTTTTTATTTATTTATTTATTTATTTATTTTTTTGAGACGGAGCCTCAAGCTATCCCCCTGGGTAGAGTGCCATGGCATCACGCTCACAGCAACCTCCAACTCCTG